TGCAATATTGGGTAGTCCTTCACGCCGTGCTGGTGTCCTCTTCTCATCCCACCTCCGCTGTCTCTTCCCCAGCCATCCCCTTCTCCAGCTGATGCGCCCCTCGCTCCCCCGCGGTGCTGGCTCCCGCTTCCATATTCGTGCCTTTATTTATTTTCTTACATCTTTATTTTTTTAGTGGTCACTCTGTGGGTAGGTCAGGAGTCCTCGCTCATGGTGTCTCCCACTGAGATAGTTGTGCTCAGGTATTACCAGTCCAGATCCTTCGTATCCTCGATATGGTTAAAGAAGAAAGCAAAAATATCCCATTGGAGATAAAAAAATTTCCGTAAACAGGAGGCAGAGGGTGTTTTTCCTATATTTTGAGCTGACTCGTTCCCAGCAGATGTGTTTGGTGATGGCTCTTCTTTCGAACAAGCAAAGCCATGCTTGGAGAGCCTGGAGGTGGCCGGCCTGTGGTCCGGTGGCATCTGATCGGTGGGAGCTGAATTCCCGTACGACCCATGGAGAGGCTCTGCTCTGAGGGTAGAAGTGAGCTGATGGTGCTTGATGGTGTTGGTGCTGGGTCTCCATGGGACGCTCTCCACCCAGCCCTGGACATCTCCCTCTTCGCCCATGTATGGCATGGGGCTTGTGGCTCTTGGCTGATGGAAGGTTGTGGTGCCCATGGTGGGCGAGAAGGTGGCTCTCGGGAGATGATGTCCTGATGCGGGACAGATGAATGGTGCTGGATCTGCTGGCAAAGCGAAGCTCTCCAAGAAACCCATCACAGAAGGAAAGCGAGATGAGCTGGCTTGTGTCCTCGCCACCTCCACTGTTTTTTTATTTATAGAGGTTATTCATAAAATACCGAACCCGAGAGTTTACCCAGATTTCAGCCCAATCCTGTTGACTTGCCCTGACTCTGGAACCACCCCAGCGTCTCCTGGAGCCAGTGGATGTTGAGTGATGGTGCTTGGTGGGTGCTGGACCAAGGCTCTGCAAGGCTTGAGGCTGGGAGACCCGTAAGGCTCTTCTGGAGCAAGCGTAGCCTCAGTTTCTCCCTCCCGACTCCTCTGCACCGAAAAGATGCAAAAAGACCTCCGGAGGCTGCAGAAGCATCAGCGTCGCTCCCTGCCCCGGCTCTCCCAGCGGTGGGACCTCGTCTGGTTCAAGGGACCGCTTGGCTGAGTGACATTTCATTCCGAAATCGCGGGCAGGCCGGGAATGTTTCACTATGCCTCTGATCCCCGCTGGTATCTGCTTGCCAGGGAAGAAGCACCTTGTTCAAATC